TCCTCAGAAGTGCACATCTGGACAAAGACCACAAAAGCAACTACATGCACCCTGGATGAACCCACTGAGAATGAGTGGCCATGTGGACAAAGGACAGGCAAGATCAACAAGAGTCTGATTCAGTCAAACCTGACTGGGATTTCTGCTGCCATCAGAACAGAAAGGGTAACAGAGAGCAGCAGCCAGGGGTGCAGAACCAGGACAGGGACCAGCCTTTGTGCAAAGCTTCTATTCCAGAAAGACCTTGACATTTTAGGCTCCTAAAAACACAGCTGATTCAGATAATATGAGGACACAACCAGCAAGGAGAACTAGGGCAGAGACCCTGATAACAGAAACACAGCTTTCCAGGACAAAGACAGAGACCTAGCTACAAAAGCCTGGGTAGAAACAGAAACTAATCCTCCATCCCATGGCAATCCTGGTCACACTCATCTTCACTTTACCTTCTCAGGTATGGGTGACCAGCTTCTTTTATTCTAGCCGATCTCCTACCCAGGCACTGGATGCCCTCGGCTCTTACTCTCTTAGCAGCAGCCAACCACTCAGACTTTGACCATCCCCCCTGGATCAATTCCCTACTGTGCTTTAATTTGGTGAAAGGAGGCAGAAACTAACCCTTGCCTCCACTTCTTCCTGCTTTCCCCACTGCAGCCTGTTTACCATGCCTACTTCCTTTCCTCCATTTCTTCTTCATGGCATCACAGTTGGGCTCTTCTCCTACAGACCCATGGGCTCCAATCTCAGGAACACTCACACAGGCAACTTCCCTTTGGAAGTTGTGCTGGGTTTTAAATTATGTTCAAAATATATTTTAATATATATTAGAAAGCTAAAATTACTTCAATATATTTTAACTCCCTGGAAGAGTATCAGGTAAATGAAGATCATGATCCTGGCCAACTCTCAGAATAAAATTCATGCTACCCAGCAGAGAGAAAAGCCTTCAATGACCACACAAAAACCCACATCCCCCTCTGCCCTTGATCATGCCACACCCACCATAGGCAGTTTCTCATCGGCAGTATGGTCATCCCTGAACTGTGCCCTGGTACACATCCATCCAATTCGGCTTGTGCTAGCCACGAGTGTTCACTACCTCTTTTGTCAACTCACTCATCTTTATGCCTCCATAAATTCTCAGATCAGAAGCCTTTTCTACAGGACAACTCTTCTGGTCTGCTACCCACTCCCAGTCTAACTGCATAAGCTGTTCCTCTTTATCCTCTTATGATGTGAGTTTTGGGTTCTCTGTTACAGTTGCCACTCCATCCCATGCCATGATGTCTATGTGGAGCTCCCCAAAGAGGGGCTTAGTTCTCTGAAAGTAGGGACTATCTTTTATACATTCTCAAGACAGGAAATTAACACTTCTACCATTGCTTCTTCTGGCCTCAAGAGGGACTCTATTCAGCTTGTGTGATGTATGTACATAAAATGCTGGAAATAAGGGGATAGACCTATGGTTTCCTATCCAGTTTTTCTCTACCCTCCCCCCTTTCTGGCTACTGGCTTCTGATATTGCTATGGAAACCAACAGTCATAGAACACAGATTGTGAGCTCGTTAGATTGTTAGCCACAAAGTCTTGGATGGTGAAATCTCTCTCGCATCTCCTCTTCACTCTCGAAGACTTGACAGTGAATTTCATTCTCCTGTCTTTCTGAAGACACTCCTCACCACCCCTAAAGTTTCCTGTGTTGACCAACAAACTCATACTGGCTTTTCAAGTCAATGGCATCCTCGTCACCTAGAAGCAACTCCCCTGAAGTGGAGGACAGTGACTCTGAAGTTGAGTCTATTCTGAGTGTCTCTGTGGGCTACTACCCATGCAAAGAAAACACTTCCTTAGAGGAAAAAATCCCCAAAGACACAACTTCAAGTACAGTGTCTTCGGAAAACCTTGTCCCGCCTATCCAAGGTACTTGGGGAACAGAAAGTGCAAGCAGACGTATAAGCCAACGAAATCTAGTGCAGGACAACCCAGAACATATCTGTAAATTAGGCATTATCATGTCCTGGGACAATAATGACGAATTTGATGAGATGATAGCTCTTGAAAACCTCAGTGGAGGCAAGGGCTTGCTGAACAGGTGTCCTAAAGACCAAACTGAACTTACTGAGGAAAAACTGGGTGATCTAGTGAAACTACTTAAAACATTTGAGCATGTCCATGAAGGCGAAGAAGAAAATGGAAAAGATGACAATAAGAAGCAAGCATGTGCCAACAAAAAAAGTAAAGACAATCAGAGAAATAACAAAAATGATGATTCTGGGTACCCTGAGGTTACTCCAGTAGAAGATGTCAAACTGTGCAACAGCTCTGCGGCACATATGCCTCAGGTCAGTGGCCAAGAATGTCACGTGGGCCAAGATTTGCCCCCCCAAAAATCAGCAGAAAATGAAGATATTGTCCAGGCTCCAGAGATTGTCCCAAAGCCTATGGGAGAGGAACTTGCTGAGGTAAGCATAGAGAAACTTCCCCGACACAGACAGAGGGACAGGCTGGGTGTGAGGGCTGGGGAGGATACCAGGAAGCCTGTAGTAAATGGCTATGAAGCAGGGCTGGGTACTGGGTGTCAGACAAGACTTGCACAAGGTGAAGGAAGATACCAGGAAAGGATTCGGAAAAGCGGTGTGTAAAACTGTACGGAGCACAGAGGGAGAGGCGTGGGTAGGAAAAGAAGGGGTAACCATGCTTAAAAAGAAAGAAGGTTGTGTGTTTCAGTACTAGTGAACACTGAAATTCTCCATTTACAGACAGGCTATTTCTGGGAAAAGGATATAAATTCCATAAATGAGAGTATATCAACTTCACTAGTGTTGGCATCCCTTGTCTAACTCGTCCTCCTTCTCCTAGGCGATGGGAGGCGAGGTGACTGGTGATCCAAACACATGCACTGCAGACACCTACTCAATCTTCTCAGAACAGCTGGAGGAGGACGAGCGGACCATGAGCTGTCTGAGAGTGGGACAGCTCTTCCGCTGGCTCACAAAGAGAATCCTCCTGACTCTCCAGAGAAGACGAGAACCAAACCAGGTTACCGAGGGCCACGAGAAACAGACAATAAAGAGAAGACTATTTTTTAGAAACAAGAGGAACAAGATCCAACCAGAAGAACAACTCAAACATTAAGGACCTAAAAAACATCTTCTAGTCCTTCTTCTTGAGCAAAATCCTGGGTGTATCATTTCTCATTAAGACAAATGTTTATTTTTAATTATTTTGAAAGGTATATAAAAATCTTTATTTTAAATGTGTCATGCTATGTATTTTTTATTTCTAAGATTCTGAAAGTATAATTCAAACATACAATAATATTTAATAAGAAAATTTGTTAGTGAAGTCTGTCCCAATAATTCAAAAAGAATGAATTTGGGTTTTGTTGTATAGTATTTGATTGTTTATCCAGATTTAATTTTACCTTAATTTGATCTTTTATCTTTAATCTTAATTTTGTCTAGTTTTATCAGAAAGTAGCATTTTTTAACTGTAGGGGATAATTCCACTGAGAGTTCCATAAAGCCTAGGAAAATATATGTGAAGAACATTCAGGCTTTCCAGATTGTATTTTAGGATACCTATAAAAAAGGAGAAGTAAGAGATGGAAGTTAAAGAGGAAAATAACTAGAACATAGACTAGTAAAATACAGCTCTTACTCTAAATCTAGCTTGTGGCTTTTTTTTTTTTTTTTTTTTTTTTTTTTTTATAGCTTGTAAGTGAAGAAATGATCTTACATTTCTAAAGAAAAAAGAAAGAAAGAAAGAAATGCAGGGAGAACAGGAATAACTAGACAAGGAAGCAAGAGAGATGGGAGAAACAGGAGGGGTGGACAAGAGAAGGGGGAGGAAGATAAAAGAGTAGGGGAGAAGGGCAGAGAGAAACCAGAGACCCCATCTGAGACATTATCCAGTCCTGTAGAGAAAGGAGGCCAACCTTTGGACTAGAGGCGTTGAAGGTAACAGAAGGTATCTTTTCACGTGGATTTGGAGGGTAAGAAGCATTAGTTAGTGGCCCTAGTATAAAAGAATTAGTGTAAATATATTAGTGCTATTAGAAGTGGTAGTATGAAAAGTATAAATTTTGAATACATATATGAAAGACAAAAGGGTAAGAAACAACATGAGGACGGAAGAGGGGGAGGAGGGCGGTCATCCGGGGTTAGGTGCTGGGGGGTGTCGGTCCGTTCGGGGCGAGGGATGACTCACGGCCCATCCCCTCTTCCCCACGCCGCCCGCCCGCACAGAGCCTAGCGCCGTGGCTTAGCATAGCAGGAGGCGGTTGCGCGTGGGGGGAGGAGGCGGTTGCGAGTGGGGTCAGGGGAACTCTTACTTTGTTAGGGGCACCGGGCCAAGGTACGACCGGCCTGGCAGGGCTCGCCTGGGCCAGGCATCACGTCTCATGAAGCCGAGCCAGCTAGGGACAGGGGTGGAGCCCAGCGCGGAGGGCCCTCGAGCAGTGTTCCTGCTTTTGGAGGAACACAGGTCCGCGGACTGGGCCCAGCTGCTCACGTGCCGGCGCTTGGGTCTGGGCGTGCTAAGTGGAGTTCCCCGGACCTCATCTGTGCGTATCCGGGGACCCAGACCAGGACTGGAGGCCCTTGGCCTAGGCTTGGAGGACAGAGGTAGGGGCACCTGTTTTGGGGAGGGGCACCTCAGGAATCTGGTGGTGGCCTGTCTGAACTGAGGCTTAAAGGAGTCGTAGGAGTGCATTACGGAGGGGCAGGGTCAGAATTGGGGGACCAGGTTGGGTCTAGAGGGGCAGGTTCTGGAGTATCCAGAAACTGCTCTCAGGTCTCTGAATTTGCGGGACTGATTCGAGGCTGAATTTAGAATCCTTGAGTCGCGCAGGAGAAGAGTGAATTTGAGGGGCACTTTCAGCCTGAACTCTCTGCTTCCGGAATCTGGGATTGTTGCTGACAATGAATTAGAAAACATCCTTGATCCAGACAGTTTCTACGAGCTCAAAAGCCAACCCCTACCCCTGTGCTCCGGGGGTCTCCAGGACCCCTGCCATGACGTCATCATCTTCATCGAGGGTCTTGCTGCGGCAGCAGCTCTTGTGGGCTCAGGCACAAGAGCAAGAGAGGCGAGAGCATCAGGACCAAGCCGCAGCCGCTCCTTTCCCCAGCCCTGCATCTTTGTGGTTGGCCTCTCTGCCGGGGGCCACACCTTGAGCCGTCCACCACCTGCTCAAGTGCCAAGGGAGGTATTCAAGGTTCAGACCCACCTGGAGAACCCAGCACGCTACCATCTGCAGCAAGCACGCCGGCAGCAAGTGAAACAGTACCTGTCCGCCACACTTGGGTCCAAGCTGGCTTCCCAGGCCCTCACTCCACCGCCGGGGTCCATGAGTGCCCAGCCACTGCCTGCTCTTGAGGCTGCCGGTGCCATTGGGCTCACAGGCAGTGCTCCTAACAGCCCCATGGCACTGCTCACCATTGGGTCCAGCTCAGAGAAGGAGACTGATGATGTCATTGATGAGATCATCAGTCTGGAGTCCTGTTACAATGATGAGATGCTCAGCTATCTGCCTGGAGGCACCCCAGGGCTGCAGCTCCCCAGCATGCTGCCTTGTCAGGGAACCTGCTTGATGTGTACAGTAGTCAGGGTGTGGCCACATCAGCCATCATATCAGCAACTCCTGCCCAGCCGAGCTGCCCAACATCAAATGGGAAATCTCTGAAACCGAGGCAAAAGCCCTCTTGAAGGGGCAGCAGAAGAAAGACAGTCACAACCTGATTGAGCGTCGCAGGTGATTCAACATAAACGATAGGATCGAGGAGCTTGGCACCCTCATCCCCAAGTACAATGCCCCAGAGATGCGCTGGAACAAGGGCACCATCCTGAAGGCCTCTATGGATTATATCCAAAAGTTGCAGAAGGAGCAGTAGCGCTCCAAGGATCTGGGGAGCCGGCAGAGATCTCTGGAGCAAGCCAACCGAAGCCTGCATCTCTGGATTCAGGAGCTAGAACTGCAGACCCAGATCCACAGTCTGCCAGGGCCTCCCACCCCAGGGCTACTCTCTCTGGCCACAAGCTTGGCCTCCGACAGCCTCAAGCCAGAGCAGCTGGACATTGAGGAGGAGGGCAGGCCAAGCACAGCAACATTTCATGTAGCAGTGGGACCTGTCCAGAATGCTCCTCAGCAGCAGCCCCCAGCACCACCTTCGGATGCGCTTCTGGACCTGCACTTTCCCAGCGACCACCTGTGGGACCTGGGAGACCCTTTCCACCTGGGGCTGGAGGACATTCTAATGGAGGAAGAAGAGAGGGTGGTGGGAGGATTGTCAGGCGGTGCCCTGTCCCCACCGCAGGATGCCTCTGACCCCCTGCTATCTTCGGTATCCCCAGCTGTCTCCAAGGCCAGCAGCTGTCGTAGCAGCTTCAGCATGGAGGAGGAGTCCTGATCAGGCTTTACCCCTCCCCTGGGGCTTCCCCACCCAAGAAAGGAGGACTTGTGAGGATGAGGCTTCGCCTTTTCCCCCACCCTCCTGTGAAACTGCCCTGTCTAGGAATTCTGGGGGAAGAGATTTAGGCTCTGTCCTTGCCCTGTAATAGGCAAGGGGGAGGAGCCATATGTGCCCCACCCCTTCCATAAGGAAGAACCCAGTGCAGGTATTTCAGAGGGAGAAGGTAGGAAAACCCTGAGGGGCCTACCCTTGGCCCTGTAAGGAAAGGAGACACAGGATGATGTGTGATTTATTTTTTTAATGTATTTGGTATAGAGTCTCACTATACAGCTCAGACTGGAATTGCAGGCATGCACCACCATGCCTGGTCTCAGCGGCCAGCTCAGCCAGGAAGTATGGCTGGTGACATTTAGTACTGGGGATCAGACCCTGGTCCCTGTGCTTGCCTAAGCAGGGGCTTAGTTTGCTGAGCTATCTCACCAGTCCTTGAGGTATGACTTCTGTCACCTCAACAGCCTAACCAGGTCTCCTGGGAAATGGTAGGACATTGTTCCATCTTTTCTTTGAGAACCGCCAGTCTAGCCCATCTAGGCACTGGAAGAAGAATCTAGATCAGTGATGGTGAGCCTTTTAGAGCTTTCAATAACAAACACCCTGCTGCAACACATGCTATAGGTTCACCACCACTGCGCTAGATGGAGGGGTCCCATTCCTGGTGGTTTAAGCGCTGCCCCTTCCGCATGTCCCTAGGAACCCAGTTCTGGATTTCTGGGAATGGCAGTCCAGCCCCACCCATTCCCTACAGGAAGAGCCCCAGCACAGGAGTTTCAGGTGTGGAATAAGGAGTAGAATCAGACTACCCCACTTAGAGACCACTGTCCTGCTCTGGCCCTTAGCAGCATCCCACGTAGGCATCCTGCACTGGGGAGCAGTAGTGCTCCCCGCCTTCCCCTAAGACCAACCAACCTGACTAAGGA